AGTTTGATTTTGAATGGGAGGAACCCTTAAAGAATTCCCAGAAGCAGAGCAAAGAGGATGTAGGAGAAGCTTGGGAAATGGTTTTTCCTTTCCTAGTCCAGGTATTAGGGGCTGTAAACAGGCATCCTAGCAGAAGGACGATTCCAGCACCATAGAAACCTCAGTGCCATAAGATGGAATCTCAGCCCAAGGATGCTTCCAGCGGAAGCCGAGTTGCCTAGTATCACAGTGGACAGGTACGTGTGGTAGGCTGTCCAGAAGTGCGTATGGAGGCTACCTAGGATACTGGTACAACTTTAATTGGGTAAGTGAGATAACTATAAGGATGTAAATAAAGAATAAAAAAATGAAATTAAAAAAATAAAGTAAATTTAAAACTATAGTGAAACAGTTATTATGGTGAAAAGAAAAATGCACTATAAAGTGAAAAGGCTATGTGTGTAGTGTGTTTACTAGGAAAACATTTTTTTTTTTTACAAGGAGGGGCAGAATAAAGCACTTGAATGGCTTTCTCCTGGGTGCTCTAAAATTGGAATCTGCCTAGGAGAGGTGGGATGGGGAGAGGCAGGTGTCTAACTAGGATAGCAACAAATGTTCAACACAGCTGTTTTCACTTTAGCAGTCTCCCTTCTTTGTGGATTAGCGGCCTCTGCTGGCCACACTTAGTTTTGCAGCCCATGGGCTGGGCTTTGGAGGTTCCCGTCTCCCCACTTCCCTCCAGGGTGGCTAAGATGCTGGACCACGGGCTGTCTTCCAGGTGGAGTGTTCTGCTATTTGGTGAAGTAGACACAGCTGAGTTCTGTGTGGGAGACCCAGTCTCTGTACCTTCAGAACCCACTCAGTGTTAAATCTGCCCCCCAGGCAGATAAAGCTATAGATGATCACGCAGTCTACCGGAGTGTCAGAATGCTCGTTCCCCAGGCTGCAAACCTCACAAGAGGTCTGGCTTTAGAGGCTGATCCCCTCCAGACCTCCAGCTCACAGTTATCTCACTGTCTTAGTTACTGCTCTATTGCTGTGTTCTAGTACTATTCTATTATGACCAAGGCAACTCTTATAAACAAAAGCATTTAACTGGGAGCTTGCTTACAGTTTTATAGGTTTAGTCCATGATCATCATGGCAGGAAGCAAACAGGCATAGTGCTTGTTAGGAAAACAGTAGCGCGGGCTGGGACCTTGGTCCTGTGGCGCAGCAGGTGATGAAGTGCGGGCAGATGGGGCAACAGAGACCTGTAGGCATGACTCATACTGAAAGTTTTATTGAGGGGAGGTAAGAAAATAAGGGAAGGAAAGAAAACAGAGGTAAAGAGACACAGAGACAGGGACAGACAAAGCTGCCTCCACAGAGAGAGGACAGAAAAGAAGAGAGAGGAGGGAGGGAGGGAGAGAGGGAGGGAGGGAAGAAGGGAAGAAGGGAGGGACAGGAAAAGTCCTGTGTGTTCCTTCAGAGGAACAGCAGGAAAGAAATCAGAAGTGGGTGTTTTTTCTTTTAAAGGGTGGGTCCTGTGTGCAGATTACATAGTGATGTAGCAGCCATGGAACCCTGGGCTGACCAGGATACTGCCAGGTGACAGGGAGGTGGGGGGGGGGGCAGGCCAGCATTATGCCTGAATCCTCACAGTGCTGGAGCAGTAGCTGAGAGCTTATAGTCTGATCTGTAGGGAGCAGATAGAGAGAGCAAGACACTGGGCCTGGCATGGGCTTTTGAAACCTCAAAGTCCATCCCCAGCAACACACTTCCTCCAATGAAGCCACACCTCCTAATCCTTCTAATCCTTCTCAAACAGTTCACCAACTGGGAGTTAAACATGCAAATGCATGAGCCATTCTCATTCAAACCACCACATTCACTCTCCAGTTAGAGTCAGGAGATAGGCTCAGCTTAGTCACTTGAGGGTATATTCACAGTACCCTTCCTGCCAAAGACAAACCTGCTTCCTGAACTTTCCAGCCTGTCAATGACTGACCCTCCTCCTCTCCATGACAGTCTCCGGTGGCTTCAGGGTTTTTTTGGTGGTGGTGGTGGTAGTGCTGGTGGTGGTGCGTGCGTGTGTGTGTGTGTGTGTGTGTGTGTGTGTGTGTGTGTGTGTGTGTACAGGGAGGGTGTTGGTCACAAGCTTCCTAACTTGTGACTGCTCCTTTTTATCAGGCCTGTAGGGAAGTTTGGTCTTAAACAGTAAGTTGCCTCTCAGAAACGATGGCCATCCATAACCCTCTGAGACTTGGAAAACAGTAAAACAGGTCTGTTATTCACTGTTGATCCCTCCCTCAGGAGCAGTCAGTACCTCACCAACTCCCAAATGGCATTTGAAGCTTTCAAGGCCCCTGAGCTTGTCCTGTAGACAGGTTTAGCAGTTGCCTTTCTCCACGGTCATCTGGCTCACCTTTAGGATGAGACTTCTGCTTCCTCTCACTGGCCTCCTTACGTAGAACAGGTTGACCTTAACTCTCAGTCTTCCTGTCTAGATGTACAGGTATATGCCACCAAGCCAGACTTGCAGTTTTCTCCTTGACTGGGATTAGTTGTTTGTTTTGAGACAAGGTATTATATACCCAGTTGGTCTCAATAGTAGCTGAGGCTGGCCTTGAACTCCTGACACTCCTGCTTCCACCTCCTAAGTGTTGGGATTACAGGTGGGCACCATCATACCTGCTCCCGACTTCTAGTTTTTAAAATAAATCCACAACCCAGGAACATTTGTCTAAACACTTTAATTAAAATTCACTATACTGTGAAAGCTGGTATGTACATAAAGCTTTCATGTTTACTGAGACAACAGCTTAGGCTATTTCCGGTAGCTGAGCATATTTTGATAATGAAAGTTTTAAAAGCTTCTTGGTTTTAATTCTATTTAAAATATTTGTGTAGTTTTTAAAAAGATGGCGTTCAATTTATTATATTCCAAAATGCAAGACACACCGAGGAGATTAAAGGAGGAGAGACTCAACAGTCACACATACATGTTCACATACATGTTCTGCTCTGACTCAGGGTCACAGTGATCTCTGAGCTGTGGTCATTTAATTTAGAGATTAATGCCTGTCTGCAACTCAGTTTACATAATATCTGGGTTCTGTGAGAGTGTTACCCTGAATGGCATAGCCCGGCGAAATTAAGACACTGCTGATCTCATTTCAAAATTAATGTTCTTTCCAAGAATCCCAAGGACCTCACACTTTATACAAGAAGCAGTCTATTTTCAAAGACTAGCATCTAAAAGAGTAGGTGTATCCACAGAGAACAGATTCCTTATGAAGCAGGACCTCATAGTGGCAGGGTCAGGAAACATTCTGACATCTACTGAAGGGTGCTATGTTTACCTTATAGAAACATCTAAAATACTTGCCAGTAATCTCCATACCCTGGACTTCAGATTATAGGGTGCACATATGACAATGATACATGGAGACACTAGGGTTAAAAAAAAATATGAGTAGACTCCCAGCTCACCCGGCTTAAAAAATAAGGCGTACCAGTGAGATTAGATCTGTGTGGGATTCTTTGTTTTGGTATTGAGGATCAAATTCAGGCCTCAAATAGGCCAGGCAAGTGATCTACAAAGGCAAACCCCTTTCTGTACCAAACGATTCTTATTATTGTGAGCTATTGAGAGAGAGAATGTGTGTGTGTGTGTGTGTGTGTGTGTGTGTGTGTGTGTGTGTGTCACAGTGCATGGGAGGAGGGCAGAAGACAACTTTGTGGGGCTGATTTCTTTTCACCTTCACGTGGGTTTCAGAGATTTCGGTCATCAAGCTTACATGGTGGTGTAGTAAGTAAGAGCCTTTATCCACTGAGCCCTCTCAATGTCCTGATGAAAGACTTAAACTAGCAAAGAAATGAAATGAAGCCCAAATAATTGGAATGCTGGGCAGAATTTGCTAACCACCAGCCCTGAGATAGCAGGATACCAAGAATTCACACTGCCCCTCCTTTCCGTGAGTCAGCAGGTGGTAGGTAGGGTCCTTAAGAAACAAAGAGATAGCTGCAACTCTGGTTTGCCCAGACAAGATTAATTGGCACACCCCGAGGCCCTAAGGTCTACTGACCCTAACAGCGAGACCATCTGGCCTCAAAGGGTCATGTACTCAATGGACAGAGGGTCAAACCCCCTCCCTAAGCTTATGGGTTTTGCCTTTAAAAAAACGCCTGTGCCTGGGAATGGGGCTTCTCTCTGGTCTGCGTGCTGCAAATTAAAGCCTCTTGCGTGTTGCAGCAACTGGACTGGCCATTGAGTTCTTGGGGGTACCGACCAAAACTGGGAGACTCCTCATTCTGAGGGTCTTACACTGAGATTGGAGACTACCCAATTGCTCACTGCCTACTAAAATAAGCAAACTTTAAAAGGGTAAGATAGCAATACCAATCACCATTAACTGCAGTGTACGAGTGCCCAGTCACAGGCTCTGCCACTAATGAGACTACTGTGTTTACTGCCCTGGGATCTAGAGATGTTCACACGAACTTGGGAACTCCCAAGCCGTTTTGCTATTGGTTTGTTTTGAGGCCGATTCTCACTGTGCCACACTGGCTGACCTTGAACCAAGGTTCCTCCTGCCTCAGCTTCGCCACAGGCGTGTGCTCCCACTGCGGCTCTTCCCTTCCACTTAAACCAAGGGTGGGTTCTAGTGGGGATACTGTCATATCACCAACCCTCGAGTTTTCTAGTAGATTCCCTCCTAAAAACTTTTTAAACGTGCAAGGTGGTTTTCTTCTTGCAAATAGCAACTGGGAGGGGGCAGGGTGCTCCATGGAAGGCAGGTGCTCAAGAACACAACTACCATTTGATGAAATTTGAGGGTTTCCACAAAAAAAAAAATAAAATAAAATAAAATAAAAATCAAAAAACCCAACAAAAAAAAAAAAAAAAAAAAAAAAAACCCAACCTGTGAGGAGGTGTTCTTGGGCTAGGAAGCTTATCCAGGTAAGCGGTTCCACCGCCCAGCACCCACCCGAGGATGGGGATCATGGATTATCGGGATCATGGGGCCTGCATACGCCTCACTCCGCTTCCTCCTTCTTCTCCAGTATCTCCACTGACAGCGTCTGCTCCTCTGGATCTGGGTCTGGGCTCACACGGATCCTTACTGAGGGCTCTGAGGGCCCAGCTGCCGCCTCCTCAGTGCCATCCTCGGGCTTCCCCAGGGCTGATGCTGGCGGTGGAGAGCTCGGGACAGGGGGCCCCGAGGGCTCCTGGGACTTCGGGGTCTCCTGGGGCTTCTGGGGTTCCTGGGGTTCCTGGGGCGCAGTTTGGTCCACAGGTTGGTCCGTGGCTCCAGAGCCCTCCTCTCCCCCCAGCTTCCTGTGAGCTCTTGGCCTAAAACCCAGAGAGTATGCAGGTGAGGTGAAGCATTCTCCTCCAAGGCGGCATAAAGAGATCTTGCAAGCCAACTTGCCCCATTTTCTGGGCCTTCCAGGAGGCAGTGGCATACAGGAGGTGAAAGCTAGGGGCCTGGCAGAGCAGCATCAGGGTAGTGTAGAAGAAACAATATAGCATGGGCAGTTTGAAGTGTGAGCTTGAGAGGCCAGCCATGTTTTGTGGGTAAGTTTTGGTGATTTGTTTAACTTTGAGGCAATGTCTCCATATGTAACCTGGGCTGGCCTTAAATTTGGTGTGGAGCACAAGTTGGCCTCAAACTCAGGGTCCTTCTTCCTGAGCCTATCCAGTGGATGCTGAAACTGCAGGTGTGGGCTACCATGCCCAGCTCTTAGGGACAATTTAGACTAATGTGGGCTGGAAGCCTGTGTTACAGATCCATCCCCCACCTTATCTGGGGAGCTGATAACCTTGAAGACTGGCCTCTTCAAAAGCTGAGCCATCCTGACACCCACTCCTCCTCCTCTTCCGGTTTTTCAAGACAAGGTTTGCCTGTGTGGCCCTGGTGTCCTGGACCTCACTCTGTAGACCAGCCTGGCCTCCAACTCAGAGATGTCCCTGCCTCTGCCTCCTGAGTGCTGGGATTAAAGGCGTGTGCCAGCACCACCTGGCTGCATACCCACACTTCTTATTAGTAATGGATGGTTCTGGGGTGGGTGAGAAAAACTTGGAGCACATAGGTAAAGCTGAGTGGGCAGGAGTACCTGTGGCCTGGCCATTTTTCTAGAGGGTTCCAAAAGTTGAAGCCCTTACAGGGAAAATGGAATGGGATAACAGAAAAAAAAATTAGGATGAAGTGACCCTGTGAACACGAACTCGGTGGGCAGCTGCAACCCCTAACTTGTGATTCTCCATGGGTATTGTTAGATATCAATAAGTAATGGGGGGAGGCATTAAAAACATCCCTGGGTTCTCACCTCACCCTAGTTCTATAAGGAAGGCAATGGGAGAAGAAACAATCCAAGAAGATCCTCAGCTGCCGCAGCTGCTGTGATTGTGTGGAGCAGAGACCCCAGAAGTTTGCACAAGTCACAGGTGTTAAAGAAAGGGGGCATCGGGATGCTTCTAGACTCCAAAGCAGCTCTGAGACTTGCTTCTTCTTCCATGCCTCTGCACGTCTTCCTACACTTGTTCTACCCTACATGTGCACCCCAAACTCTCAAGACATTCCCACCCTGGGCAGGGTGTTCAGATGCAACTTCTGAAGCCAAGAGAAACAAACAGGAATGGGAGGATCATGGGAAGGCTGATGACATGCTATGCCATGTTCAAACACTTTGAAAAGGGAACTACCGCTTCAGCTCTGCGGTCCTGTGTGGCTACCATGAGTCTTCTGTGTCTTCTGGAGTGCAGGGTTCCTTCCCAGAGTGGCAGTGGCAGGGCCTCTGGACTTGTTTAGTAAAGAGCCCATTCACTGCATTTGCTCTGGCTTTCTAGACCTCACAGACACTTATTAGAACAGTCTCACAACAGGAATGGACACCCGTCTTAGCTGAAGCCTTTAGCTGCTCTGAGTGTCTTTGGGCTCACGTCCACTTGACCTCAAGACAGCAGCCAGCACAAAAGCCCCAACATGCAGACTCAGCCTTGACCATCACAGCAATCACATTTCCCCTCTGTCTGGGGCTGTGTATGGGAAATGTCCTGGAATCCCATGGGGCCTTGATGTCACTCGCCCAACTTCTGCTGACAAATGAACCCTGAATGTGTGCCCTGACTCACACCACTGGACTGGGGCTGCATTCACTGGCCTTCTCTGTTGTCCACACAGACTGCTACTGTCCACTTCCAGACCATTATGAGCAGGTAAAATTACTACCATTATTCTAATAGCTCTTCTCGGCTTCAGTCACAGAAAAAAGGGCCCAGGAACTAATTTCAATATCCCTTTAGATTACAGGGGTGGAAGTCAACGCCACTGTGCATAGCTATGGGATTTTTTTCCCCTTCCAAATCATTTAAATGGTCACAGACACTATATTAAATGGAATATCACAGCCAGCATTCCCAGCCTATACCCACTCCTCCTGCCAGCACCGAAGCCTTCCCCAGAGAACTATCTCTTGACTTCCAGTGCAGGAGTGAGTGGGCAGGTGTGGGACACCCTGCCCTGGCCCCATTGGCAACGGCTCAGGAACTGGCCCAGCACTGGCTGATGACGAGTCCTGGGGACTTTGGCTTTGCTCTAGGGGGTAAGATGCCCTTCCTGTTAGGGTTGCCACGTGACAGGATGTGGAGCCATCAGATGAGAGAGATTACAGATGGGAAGACTAGTCCTGCAACTTGAGGTCCAGCCATACTTGAAGAGACAACTATTAAGCCCTCTCGCCTTCCTATTCTGTCAACATAATGTCATACTTAGAGGTTGTTTGAGACAAGGTCTCGGGATGTGGCTCAGGCTGCCTTGAAAGTAGTAGCCCAGGCTGGCCTAGAATTCGTTAGCAATCCTGCATCAGCATCTCACCCACGTGAGCTACGCCTACGATCGAGGGTTCTCAATCTGGCTGAACCTGCTTCTGTCACTTGAACCAGACAAGGCCTGCTGCTGCAAAGGAGACAGAAAGTCCCAACACTGGAGGTGTGATCAACTTTTGGAGGTCCCCGACCTTCTTCCTTAAACAAACCTGCTAAAGGCGAAGAACCAGATCCCAACCATGTTACCTGTTCCAGCAGCTGCTGCTGTCGCGCTGCCGCCTCCAGGGCAGCCAGTTCCTTGAGCCTGGCTCTCAGGTGGGCGAGCTTGCCACCCTTGGCCCCCCTGCCGCCCATTTTTCCTGCAGCGGCGAGGGCCGCATTGAAGAGCTTCGGGGTGCCAGCACGTGGGGGCAGGATGAGCACACTCTTTGGCTCCTTGGGTTTGTTGTTGTTTCTCAGCATGCGCCTGAAAGAGAACCACACCCACTTCTATCCAAAGCGCTGTGGGGAGAAGCCTGCCCCTGGGCCTGCCTGTAGAACCCTCTGAGCTGTCCCTACGTGGGGTGGTGGAAGTAACGTTGGTGCTGCCTTTGGCTGATGATTTCAGTGTGCTATGCTGGGGCATAATGAAGGGGAAAAAAAAAAAAAGAACTGCCATAATGAGATGGGGCTTATTGTCTGTGCCCTAAGGATAAGAACATTGAGGCTCAGAGAGGTTGATTGACTTGCATGAGGTCACACTGGACAGACTGAAGGACACAGCTTTAGTTCAGGTGTGGTTTGAGGGTATCTCCAAGAGTCGTGATGATATTGGGAGGGAGGCAGCATGGAGTCTTAGAGGCAGGGCCTGTTGGGAAATCGTTAATGATCTAGTTCCTGGGACCCTGGCTAGTTCTCATGAAGGGGGTTATTATAAAAGTCATGCTGGCCCGGTCTCCGCTTTATCTGGGAAAGACAGGGATTATTGTGTCCCTGGAAACTGAGGAAACCGGGCTCAGAATAGGGGCAGGAAGTGGTGGTGGCAGAACCAGACTCGTGATCAGGTGTGACCCAGCACCCTGTTTCTTTGAATAAGGATAGAATTTCCCATCAAGCAGAGCCTGTGCCTTTTACTAGGAATTTTTCAAGCTATAAATATGTGATAAACAGCTTGATTCAAGAACAAATGCATTTTGCATGCAATCTAGTGGATGAGACTGCTAATTGGCAAATTCATTCATTAGGTTCCAGTGCAACTTGTTTGTTTTTTGGTTTTTTGTTTGTTTGTTTGTTTGTTTATTTATTTTAATGAGGCCGCTGCTGGATGCTTAGCTAATCAGAGCAAACAGGCTTGAATTGCATGTGGTGATATTAATTGACTGAGATTTGCATTTCTCCCTGGGTTTCCCCGGGAGACACAAGCACGATCATCTATCAGAAGCCTTGGAAGCAGGCTCCTGAGCAGCCTGGGCACTGTCACCCATGTTATGCAAGTCCATAATTCATGCATGACAGGCCGCAGGAAGGTTCAGTTTGGTGCTGAAGTGACAAAGAGCAGTGGAGGGGACAGCTGCTGGCAGCTGCTCTGCTTTGAGTCAGTGCAGACAGACAGATGTGTCCATATGAATGGGATTCTCTGTGTTCCAGGCCTTTGCTTGGAAAGGGCATAAGGCAGGAGAGCAGGGACTAGAGACAAATATACGTTAAAAAAAAAAAATTAACAAACAAGTATTGAAGAGTATTATGCCCCTCTCTCCCACCACAAGGTCCTTCCTCACCACAGGTGGCAAGCATGGACTGAAACCTTTGAAACCAAGAGCCAAAACAAGCTTTTCCTCCTTTTGAGTTGATCTTCTCAGGAACAGAGTGGCACAATGTTTGACACCAGCTAGAGTGCACACTAGGCAACCTCGGCTATGGCCACCCTGTGCGAGTCTGTGAGTCAAGAGTCTGCTGTTAGAATCTGGGCCACACTGCTGCTCTGACCATGCCCATCTGCAGCAGCCCCTTTCTGTTGGAAAGGAAACAGCAAACCTTTTACCAAGAGCCTCTTTGTGAATCTTTAACTCCCTGACTCCCTTGGGTGCCTGTGGACTTCTATACCATACGGTGCTTCCTTAGTCACTCAACTTGAAACCTCATCTGAAGGACTAGAAAGCAAAACTCTGCTTTTCTCAAAGTAAAATAAGCCATCTCCCAATACAAAACACAAGCACACATGCACATGCAGCTGCACTGCTATTCACAGCTGCAAAACATTGGTGCTGCCCCACGTGGGTGCTCACTCTAGGGGAAGGAAGGTGCTCTGAGCCTGAAGATGATGCAACAATATGCTACCATTCACATAAAGAGAAATAAGAAAACTGAAAACAGGGAGGGAAAAGTGGGAACCAATGAGGTTAGCCAGACTAGAGGGCACGGATCTGTGAGCCCTGCTACGTAGGAGGCTAAGGAGGGCAGATGAAGAACACAGCACTCATCTGGACCACGGAATAACAGTCTGGCCAATCCAGCAAGATCAGCCCCAAAACTAAATCAAGCATAATAAACTTAAGGGCTGGAGGTTAAGCTCAGTGATAGAGCATCTGTCCAGTATGCACAAGGCTCTGGGTACTAAAGAATGAAAGAAAGAAAAATATTCCCCAAACAAACCTAACACATTTAGCTCTTTATAGGGGCAGGTGACAAGCTAAGACCTTGCGATACTTTCCTGAGCGTACAGCTTTGTACTTTGGGAGTCCTATCAATATTTTATGTTCTCAAAACAATAGTTCTGCCAGTCACAGCAGCACACGCCTGTGATCATGGCACTCAGGAAGCTGAGGCAGGAAGTTCAAAAGGCATGGTGTTACATGCATCTAATTCCAGCACTGGAGAGGCCTTTGAGTCTCTGCGTTCCAAGGCCTTTATTGCTGAGCCACTCTCCAGCCCTTGACCCAAATAACTTCAAACACAATACTTCTACCATAGATACTTGAGCCAAAAACAAAAATAACTTTGTCGAACACTGAACTCTATTTGGAAGGGTTGTTTTTGCACAGTGGGTGGGTTAAACATGCTGAAACATTATATCATAGGAGTGAACAAATGAATAAATACAACACAGATAAAAGGCAGTCAAAAGTCTCAGTGTCAGGAAGGAGGTTAGAAGCATCGAAAGGGAGACTAGAACAAACTGAAGGGATGATCAGAAATTGTTTTATAGATCCCCCAATTCATCTATAGAAAAATCAATGTAGACGTGTATTGCATACATATATGGAAATATTCACACTGATGTACACAGGCATGGGGCTGTCTCCCTTAGCTCCTTTCACGAGGGGGCCTGGTAGCACCCATAGCACTGAGTACCCTTCAGGTTCAGATCTTTCAATTCTATTTTTACTTCACTGTTTTGAGAAATGGTTTCACAATATAGCTGTGGCTGGCATGGAACTTGAAGCACAGACCTGATTGGTCTTGAACTTGCAGCAATCCTCTTGCCTTCGCCTCTGGGATTATAGGCATGGACACACATTAGATTTTGCTTTCTAAAATCCATTGGTGAGCTACAGCTAGATATCTCGGTGGTAAAGCACACATGTCTAGCATGGATTAAGGTCTCAGGCTTTATTCCCATCCCCTGTGCCCCACAAAACTCTTCCAAATGTTTCTCACTAGAAGGAATTTGGTTACTTGAAGAAATTGCCATTTCTGGGCAGGGGGAGTTGGTGTGGGAGCCCAAGGTTGGCCAGCCTGTCTTGCTGCACCTGTTTGTTCCCCATAGACACAAGGAAATGTTGAATTATAGTGGGACATCAAAAGTAACACCTGCTCATGTAATAAATAAACAAGCATGGTGCTCATGTAATAAACAAGCACGGGGAGGGTCTTCCATAGTAGAGTGTGAGCCCAAGAGTGGGAGGCAGGAAGAGATTGGACAGTGATGGCACAGACAGACCACTGAGGAGTGAAGAGCAAAAAGCCATGGGCAGATCAGTGTCCACCAAGTGGCAGGTGCATTCTAGGGGAACAGGGACATCTATGCAGTCCCAAAGATGTCCTCACTAACCGCTTGTCAAGTACAAAGAAAGAGTAACTTTGCAGTCCAGAAGCTGTGTCAGTGTGGTTGAGGTGAACTCATCGCCTGGGAAGAACCCAGACCTTTTCGCCTATATGCTGCCTTGAAGGGCATATTCACCATGATCATTTCTGTACCAGATGCAGAGCCAAAAAAGCCATCATCAGAAAGCAACAGACACACCTAAACCAAGGGGCATTCCAAAACCTAGCCAGCCCAATGGCTGCAAAGAGGTCAAAGCCATTAGAGATAGACACCACAAAGAGCTGTCCCAGGTCAGAGGAGACAGGGGATTCAGCACATTAATGCAGGACAGGACCTTTGACTTGGTGCAGGAAGGAGAAGAAAGCTTCCAGACAAATCTCAGCGTGGATTAGAGGTGAGAGAACAGTATGGTGTCTGCAGCAAATTCTCTGATGTTCACTGTGGTATTACAGTCATAGGAGAGGACACGCTCCTCCCAAGCATCACTCAAAGCCAGACAAGAAAAAGAAAGAGGTTCTGTACCTGGCCTTCTTCCGGAGTAACTTCTGAGATTCAGGATAATGCACCAAGATTTCATTCAAGTCCTTCTTGTCCAGAATGAAGAGGTTGGTGAACCCATGGGCCACCACGTTGGCTGTGCGCCGGTTCCCACCCCCAACAGCCAGCAAGCTGGAGTCGAAAAGGGAGGGAAATGAGAACATTTGGAGGCTGTGGCTTTAGAGAGATTACCTTAGATTTTTGTTGATGTTGTTTTGCTTTGAGACAGGATCTCACTATGTAGCCCTGGCTGTCCTAGGATTCCCTATATAGGCCAGCTGGCCTTGAACACTCAGAGATCCTCCTGCCTCTGTCTCCTCAATGGGCCATCACATTTGGCATTGTTTAGGTTTTGAAATAGAATTTTCTTTATTTCTTTCAGGCTGATTCACTATCAGCCTCCCTAGTAACTGGGACTATAGGTGTATGCCACCCAACTCAACTCTGCATTTCCCTACCCGCTTCATGGTACGCCATGGTGGCACCCACCCTACACAAGCTGGCAGGGGCCAGTTTGGTACTCACTGTAATTTCCCCTGATCCTAACCCCCTGCCCTTGTTAGGGTGCGTGGACCCCCCTCCCCCCACCACTACTGACCTTATCTCTCCAAACACTGATCCGGCTTTGAGTGTCACCAGAACGGCCTTCCCATCTGGGCCACCCAGTACTTGAACCTGCCCCGCCTGGATGATATACATCTCTCGGCCAATCTCCCCCTGGAATAGAAAAGGGCTGAGTCCCACACCCCATAGCCACTGAGGCTGCCCCAGACCTGCACCATCAGATCGTGTGGTGGGAGGGGGTGATTCACTCTTGGCCCGTCTTTTCTTTTGAATGTTGGGTATGGTGCTAGTCTATTCTTCAGCTTCCCGTGGTCCATCCCAGAGAGAACCTGTGGCCAGTGCCCTAGGAGCTCGGCCAGTTGAGATAGGAATGACAGTAATGGTCAGGAGGCCCAGAGGCCCCGGTGCATCTTCCAAGCTGATGCTAGTGGGCATGCTTCACACCAGTGAACCTGCTATGGTAGGATTATGCCCTACCAAGATTGTAATGCAAGTTCGAGTCAAGGCTGGGATCTGAATCCAGACAGCCTGACTCCTGGGCGCACGGCCGATGTGGTTAATCTCTGTCCCCAGACCTGGGCTCTGTCTGCTGAAATCCTAATCCCCAGAACCTCCCAATAGGCCCTTATTTGGCAATAAGGTTGATGCATGTGTAATTCAATTAAGATGGTCTACTTGAGCATGTTGGCTCTCATCCAGTCCGACTGGCATTCTTACAGAAAACAATGTAAAGGAGAAGAGAGCCAAAGAGAAGATGAACATCTTGCTACCTGAGAAAATGGCCATTCACTTTGGACTGCTGGCCCTAGAACACAGTAGCCTGAATTCTAACTTAAACCAGAGGAATGAATGAATAAGGGAACAAATGAATAACTAATGGAATGGATGAATGGATCGCTTGCTCTGGCTTTAATCAAAAACAGTAATTTGCCACCCATCTTCCAATCCGCGTGCCCTCCCAGATCCTGCCTTGATGGCCACCTGTCAATTACACCTGTCATGATTAAAAGGGGTGGCGGAAACTCCTTTACAATTTAATTTACTCTACAAATGTTCCTACATGTCACCCACAGTCACGATCTGCTGTTGCCTTCTCTTTTCAGTCTTACAAGGGATCAAAATGTGGGGGTTCAAGTCCCAGTGTCTTAGAGAGTCCCAAAGGAGCCAACAGCAGAGAGCACACTTGCTTCCCAACACCCAGGTTATCTTTCACCTGCCACAAACTCTAAAATCACATGGAAAACATTGTCAGCAATTGGTGCCACAGGCAAACCTTATTCAGTCTTCCCAGCCACCTGATGGAAGAGGCACTATCGATTATCTATACTTCACCCATAAGATCAGGACTCAGAGAGACACTGCTCCGCTAGGGAGTGGCTCCCATACCTTGCAAAGCCCTCTATGGGTCCCAAACATCCCCCTGCCCCTAAGGCAGCAGCTTTAAATGCTCAACCTTCTGAATTTCATTCTCTTCCCTTGGCTCAGCCATTCATTTCCAGAAACTTCGCTGCTGCATAGTATACTGCCCAGCAGATGTGTCCAACCTGCAACTCTCTGAGCCACATTTGGCCAGGGATAGCTGTCAATTTTGATGAGCAGTTTGATCCCCAGAACCCACATGGTGGAAAGAGAGAACCAAATCCCTCAAGTGGTCCTCTGACTTTTTACTCATACCCCAATCAATTACGTAATTTTAAAGGAGGGGTTAGAGAGACAGAGCTTAGGAGGTAGGAACACTTACTGCTCTTCCAGGGGTCCATATAAATAAGTAAAAATAAAATCCTTAAAAAGACTTTTTTTTTTTTTAAGCCAGACATGGCAACACATGTCTTTAATCCCAACACTCAGGAGACAGAGGAAAGAGGATTTCTGTGAGTTCAAGACCAGTCTGATCTACATAGTAAGTTCCCGAACTGCCAGGGTTATAGAGAAAGACCTGTCTCAAAAATAATAAATAATAATTTTTAAGAGAGGCTGGAGGCTCCCAAGTCTTACACTGATTTCACCCCACACACTCACCCAGACTTATTAATATCTCCGTACAAAAGACCTGAGACTTGCTGCCCCTGGTGACCTTGCTGCCATCTTGGACTCCTTGACAGGAACACAAAGGGCTTTATACTGCCAAGGACCAGATTCTAACGTATGTGTTTCCTAGGTGACTCAAAGCAACAAAGGCAACCTGGTGTGGGGTGGAACAGAGTGATGGGGCCCATGGCATCAGACAGGGCATCACCTGTCCCCTTTAGGGACAACCCCTGCTCTCTTGCTATTGTGGGAAGAGCTAGCCAAAATTCTGTTTCATCCAAACATTTGAATTTTCGTGTGAAATCTTCCAGATTTTAAAGGTTAAGGACTAATTCACCTTAAATAAATTCATAAAACACCTCAGGGGTTGTAAACTACCCACTTTCCTGATGGGAAGGCCAAGACCAGCTTGGCAATTTTGCAGCCTCCTCTGTGTGAAGGGAGCTTTGGAAGCACTTGACAGAGCCCAGGGCACCCTCCGCAGCAGGCTGTCCCTGCTCTGGCTACAGGTACACTCTACCTCCTCTGTAGTGGGTCTGCTGTGCTGGGGAGCAGACCCCTCACAGGCCCTGCAGGTGTGGTCCCTCCCCACCCCACCCCCACTGCGCACTGCTCACCTCCCTCCTCACCCCACCCCCCACTGCGCACTGCTCACCTTCTTGCACACATAGTCATTGGGCAGGTAGACAACTGAGCGAAGGCGCTTGAGCATGTCGAAGATCATCTGCCGGTCACAGCCCTGCCCAGACCAAGGGGGAGGAGTCTCTTAGAAGAAGGCAGGGGGTTTTGTCCCAGATCCCCTAGTGGGAGGACACTTGTGAGGGTACCTGGAAGAGCGCCACTTTGCTGACGATATCGTAGTTTACATCGATGGCCAGGTCCAGTCTCATCTTGTCTGGAAGCTGCACCATCAGCTCTGACTCATCTGGGAAGGAGACCCAGCAGGGGTCAGAGTTCAGGACAGGCCTGCCCCCATACCACAGCCTTGCAAACACACGAGGCCCTGCTCAGCCAGCTCAGCTTCCCCAGCCACAGGGAGCCTCTCCAGAGTCTGAGAGTTCCCCCACCATTCCAAACTCCTACTCATCCTTCAAAACTAAAAACTAAGCCAGGCCATTGGTGGTGCAGGCCTTTAATCCCAGCACTTGGGAGGCAGAGGCACGCAGATCTCTGTGAATTCGAGGAGAGCCTGGTCTACAGGGATACTTCAGGACAGTCTCCAAAACAATACAGAGATACCCTGTCTCAAAAAAACAAAAAACAAAACAAACAAAAAAACTAAGGACTAATGGCACTTCCTCCAGGACGCCTGACTTTGATGCCTCTACCCAGCTTTTGTATCAGTGATCTCTATTCTGTAGCACCTGCCACCACCACTTTGATTTTTTTTTAACATCGTGTGTGTGTGTGTGTGTGTGTGTGTGTGTGTGCGCACGTGTGCATGCGCACGTGTGCATACACACATGCACCATATTACATACATAGAGGTCAGAGGACAACTTGTGGAAGTCAGTTCTCTCCTACCATTTAGGTAACAAGCTTGAGCCATCACACTTGGCAGCAAGCCTCTCCACCAGCTGAGCTATCTGACTGGTCCACCTCCACTTTATTCATTTGGACACAAGGTCTAGCTATGTAGTCTACTGGTGACTCAAACTTAAAGCAGCCCTCCTAAGTGCTGGGATCCTAGGTCTGAGCTGCCATGCCTGGCTGCATCCTTGGTCGCAATTGCTTCCACCTTGGATGGAGCTGCATCTTAAGGCAGATGAAGCAAGAGGAAAGTGGCTGTCCAGAGAACAAGCTCTTTAGGTGTTTCAGGGTCTCCACTGGCCTGGAGAGGTCCCTCTAATAGCAATGCCAAGGGTGCAACCAAGAGAGACCCCCTCAGGTCACAAAGGACAAGGGAAGAGTTGGCCAATCTGGGAATCATGTGAAAGTTGGTTGGGGGAGGTAGGGGGTATGGGGGCTTGGCCAGTCTTACCCAGCATGCCTTGTGAATGCCAGGTGTACTCATACCAGGTCTTGACACGGTTCTGCACAGACCTGGGGATCTTGTAGAAGTTCATGTACTTCACTGTACTGTCCATGCAGCTGCGGTAGTAGGTCTGCCCTGCTGTGGCGGCTCCCACCACATCTCTCATCTAGAGCAAGTGAGGGGAGGTCAAGGAAGTACTGGGCCCAAGCTGGGTGGGACACAGGTTTGGTTATGTAGCAGTACACACATCGGGCACCTAAGCTTGTGGCCACACATAAAGCATGGACACTGGGAGCAGGAAGCAAGGCTGCAGACGTCTGTGGCCATCTCAGGTCCCCACCACAATGCTGGGGTGGGGTGTCCCATTGGGACAGGCTGATTCTGGTGTACAGGCACTCTCCCCAGGGAGGAACGCTGAACCTGGCATATTGTTTCTCAGAGTGGGGCCCTTCCAAGTTTGCTTTGAAGATTCAATTTGTTGCCTCATATCCTGACTAGAACACAAGTTACCCATCACATCAGAAACTCTAAATGGTTTTCTTACAGGGCAAGGCCCAAGTCCCCAGCCTTTAAAAAAGCCATGTAGCCACCTGGCTTGCCATGCTCCCAAGGGACTAACATTCAAACAGATAGACCTCAGGCAGTCCTGGGACACAGAGACACAGACATCCTCCTGTTCCAAATGCCATGGGCTCCTGGCTCAGCCTGAGTCTTCCCTGAGCTCCATCCCAAATCCACAATACACAGGGAAGTTTCTAGCTTTGGGCGAGGGAGTCACAGGTGGGTGTAACCCCAGTTACCTACCTGTCCAATCATCACAGAGAAAGCGAAGACACCTGTAAAATAATTCAACAGCTGGAAGACAATTTCAAAGAGCGTCTGGGGGTCAGGCAGCCCGCCAATGGTGATGAGCGTTTTCACAGCCCAGTAGTAGCATCGGATGTAACTAGTAAGAGATGAGAAGAGGGACCTCGGTCAGTACTGGAACTGTTGACCTTTCAATCCTGGTTCAGACACACAGAGGGACCCCATATAGCCACAAATGCAAGAAATCACCTTCTCAAATGCTACCAGGTGTGACTGAGGCTTTGTCCCAGCCATGTGAAAACATGTCACCCTGAAACAGATATGGAACTGAGGTTCCAGCAGACACCTGGCCACAGCTCCATGCTCACCCCTCCCCGAAGTTAGCAAAGGGGAGGCCATCAGGGCCAAGGAGGTTCCAGAAGACAGCAAGGAAGAGCTGGCAGGAAGACAGACTGGCCCTGGTGACTGGGCTCCCTCAGTTTCTCAGTTTCCAGTCTTCCCCCCCCCCCACAGAAAGTAAGAAAGAAAACAAAACAGCAGATACTGCTGGCCCCCACATCTGAAGGGCTTGCTTCTGCAGACCCAACCAGCTGCAAATGGGAAACACTTGGCAGAAAAATGTGTCTAACTGGATCCAGTCCCCACTAACACACACACACACACACACACACACACACACACGCACGCACACACGCACGCACGCACGCAAGATTTGAAAAACCATTGTGTCTGTACTGACTTTTTTGTCATTTCTTAATGATTCAGTACAGCAACCATCAGACAGTGACTATACTGTATGAGGTATTGTGAAGGCTCTAGAGATGGAGTGTTCTCTGAGAGGGTGTGGCAGGTCACATGCAAACACTATGTCATTTCACATAAGGGACTTGAATCTACTTGGAGTTTGGAATCCTCAGGGGTTCTGGAGCTAGTCCCATGACCGCTGAGGTACAGCTGTGCTCTCTCTCTCTCTCGCTCTCTCTCTCTCTCCTCTCTCCCCCTCTCTCCCCCCCCTCCCTCCCTCCTAAGACAGAGTATCACTATGTAGCTCCAGCTATATAGACCAGGCTGACGTCACACTCACAGAGATCTGCCTGTCTGGCATGTGCTACACACTCATCCATTGTATCTTTCCTAACCCTGTCCTTCCCTCACATAGGGAAACTGAGACTCACAAAGGGAAAGGACTCATGGTCTCATTCCAGAACTTTGACAAGAGCCCAGGGCATGGTCTGCTGCTCTAAGCAGTCATACATCCTCAGGTAGCACGGGTACAAGCTCAGGGTCCCTGGGACAGGAAGTACAGGTGGTGAGGTCCTACTGTATTGGAAAAAGGCACAGGAAGTACCCTGCAATGGTCTAATGGTCACAAAGCATCAGGCCTGGTATACCTGACTACAGTCTGGGTCATTCCTGAAGTCAGGGGGTGGAGGGTGGCAGGGTGCAGCCAAATCACAGGTCCTAGGGCAGTGTTTCTCAACCTTCCTTCTGCTATGACCCTTTAACACAGTTCCTCATAAAATTATTTTTGTTAACATGTCATAATTATAATTTTGCTAGTTATGAATCACAGCATAAATAACATGCAGGATATCTGATATGCAAACCTTGTGAAAGGGTGGTTCGACCCCTAAAGGGATCAGGACCCACAGGTTGAGGATCACTGCCCTAGAGCCACTTTCTTGCATGGGCTGACTTTCACTCCCTGCAGCTGGCCTCCTCCATAAAATGGGCGCAGTAGAGGAACATTGTTCCCAGGCAACTGTGAGGATGAAGTGAGCTGCTAAAAGAGTGACCAGGCCATAAGTCAGCCATCAAGACCTGCGCGGTGCTGTGCCTGCCAGCACCTGTTGTGGAGAGCAAAGCAGACTAGCCACATTTTCCAGACTCTTCCTACTTAGTGAGAACAAGCACCCAAAGCACACCTACGCCGAGAGGGAGCCCGGCAGCTAGAGTGTGGCAGGCGTGTGTGTACGTGTGCTTGTGTGCGTGCACCCACTCTGCCTCAGACTAACTGGGAGATAGTAGGCAGGGCTCCATGTCATCAGTTGCCTGGACATTTGATGACAACAGACCCATCTGCCATTACAACACACGCCATACCAGTACTGGTCACAAGAGGGCGCATGAAGCAACTTAGGCAGAACTGAGTGGCACCCACACCCACACTCCCCCACACACCCCTATTGCTTCCCTATCAGCCATCTAACTAACTCAACTGTGGGGGAAGCTGAGTGTTCATGCAACTAGGTAGTGAACCACAAAAGGTGTAAGAGTGGCATCCTCAAAGTCCTGGCTTTTCCCTAAACGTTTCCAATTGGAATATCTCCCACAGACTGGGCACATATTGGTACCTCCTGGAGTGGTCCCAGCTCAGCAATGCAAGCTGGGACAGAGCACAAAACACTACCATAGGTGGGAACTGGTTTTCCAAGGTTCCTGCTCCAGCACACAGCAGACTCCCAGGAAGTGGTGATAGTGTGTGTGCTATTGAACTTGAAGAATTTTCTGTTACTGCGTTTTGTTCCCGTATCCAGGGTCCCTGAGGACTCTCCCCTGGGAAAGAACAGGTGTCAGCAAGCAGGGCTAGACCCCAGGGTCCTTGAGAAGAAGGTCCCAGAAATCTACTGATCTCTCCTTTTAGGCCTGCCAGTCTAGCTTGCCGCTGAGAAGGGGGTTCTCAGATTCTGGCGCCCAGACTCCTTTGAGAATTGAAGGAGAGACAGAAAACTACCCAGAACAGCTGATATATTCTCAGAATTTAGCTTCTGCTTCCAGGCTGGGGATGTTTGAACCCTTCCCTGGCACGTTGGCCTTCACAGCTGGCACACACAGACCTGGCATCCAGGCGCCAGCCACACACTCACATTCATTGTTTTTGTTTTGTTGTTACTGCTTGTCACAAGACTCTTAGGTGGCATCCAAGCACTCCGGAAGCTAACAAGGATAGAAAGTTCAGCACCAACTTGGACTACAGAGTGAATTCAAGGCCAACCTGGGCAATTTAGAGAGACTGTCTTTAAAACACTTAGTTTATTTTCCACCCAGAAGGCCTTGGGTTCTATCCCCAGAACTTAAAATGTGTGTATATCATAAGAAAGCAAAGAAGCCGGAGGCTAGAGATTCACATACAATTGTGTGCTATGGGTGTGAAATGCACACCGGATTTGAAAGGTATAGAGGAAGCACACTAGCACTCCACTGTCTAGTCAACCACCTGTCACTCATGCTTAACATAGCAATTACCCGTGGAAAGGATAATGTTGTCTTTGAGATTAATCAAATACATTACTAAAATTAATTTCACCTCCTTTTATGTTTATAATGTAGCCATTAAAACATTTCAAGTTGTGTGTATGAGTCACGTCGTATAGTAACATTGCATTAATTGCATAGCCTTGCTTTAGGCAGTAGGGAACCAGCTAAGGTATGTTGTTTGCCATCCACCGTATTAGATATACATATATGCATAATGCCATATGAAATACTTTGCTGATGCTGACTCTAAGAGAAAGACCGGGAACACACTCTCCTGTTACATTTCTTCAGTTCTAAGATGCAGTAATTGCATAGCACACCGATGAGTCAACTCAGGTTTGTTTTTCTTTTTGTTTGAGCCCAGGGCCCTGTGCATGTTAAGCAAGATCTCTCCCACTGATCTGCACCTTAAACCCAGATTCAGCCTCTTGTACAAAAATAAACATCATGTTAAACATACACATGGATTATCCTTATACCTCAAATTTAGAAATGCTAAAATCCGAAAAAGTAGGTCGCCCACAGGGGAGGTAAAATAACACAATACCACATAGATGTTCTTAACCGTGCCGCTTCTGCCAGCAATCCCCTCATTGGTCCCAAGGGGCATTTCCTTTTTTTTTTCTATATGATGAATGACGTTATGGGGAACATCTTTATCCATGAGCCCTTGTCCCCTGCCCTGAAATTTTTCTCACACTAAAGTCTGTGTGGTATACTTGTCAACCTTATTGGACTTGGGATGCTAAGAAGATCTTAGCACATCTCATGCCCACACCCTCTCCTGGCACTTGCAATTCCCAGGAGACCTTCTCTTAGGGAGATGGACGGGAAAGGAGAACTTGGCCCTGGAACCTTGGCCATGAGTGGCTCCTCAGGAGCAAGGTTGTCTTGGCAATGCAATGGTTGTAACTGTAGAGGCCCATGTGATGCCCCAGGGAAGCCTGGCTCACCTGTTCCCCACGCCATCATAAACCCAGTGAGTGGAACCGATACCCTGGAAGGCCGATGCCCAGTAGTAAAGACAGGAGTTGAGGTGCAAGCTGTACAGCAGGTAGGCGGTGGTCCTGATAACTCTGAAGAGAGAGAGTGACACAGCCAGGGAGGTGACACCTTGCCCCAGGGGCAGCACTTCAGGGAAAGAACTACATCTCAGCTCCCCGAGGCTCACCTGCTGGAACCACATAACCCTGCCCAGTCACCCAGTCAGACCCAGTTTTACTCTCCCCTCTCTCCTCTGCTGGATTCCTTTAATTCTAAGGAATAGTTAACTGCATGACACACCACTTAGTCAGTTCAGGCTTTTCTTTGCAGAGGGGGTTGGAACTGAACCCAGGGCACTTGATTGGGGCCTTGTTAAAATGCAGGGCTGGACTCAGCCCAGCTGCGGCAGAAAAAATCTATGCAGATGAATGCTGGGAAAGCTGAGAGGTCAAAGGGGAAATATGGCCTGAGGAAGAGCAGGGAGGAGACAGGTGTGTGCAGAGAAATGACAACGAAATGATGCAGGAACAAGGAGCCTTGCTCCCCGAGTGTGGCCTAGCTGGTCCTGGGCTCTACCTTTAACATCTGTGTTGTACCCACTGTGTTCTTACAGATGGTCCCTTCTGTTAGAGCTGGGGGGGGGGGCTTCAGTTCCCTGGACTGACAGAAAAGCTGACTTGTCACTTGAGTCAACCTGTGAGTGTCCTTGTCACAGTGGGAGGGGGGAATAAATAAGACATTCCTGGATCCTATAAAAGAAACAAACAAGCCAAACATTCTTCCAGAGAAGAGGCTGACCAAGAAGAGGCCTGGCTTTTGGAGGTCAAGAGGCCTGGGGCAGGGAGAGCAGCTAGGGGGTATGGTGTGTGTGTGTGTGTGTGTGTGTGAGCATACACACGCTGACATGCCTATGTGCACATGCGTGCATGGGGAACTCTCACCTGTAAACGTAGGCTTTGCTGAGGATGGCTTCCAAGCGGTTATTAAACTCGAAGAAGGCCATGTACTAGGAGGGAGAGGAAGGTGTCAGGGTGGTCCTGTGCCTTCTGGGGACATGGTGCACTGCTGTTGCCTCTCACCCTACCCGATGGCCACCAGGCAACCCCCCCCCCCCGCTAGTAATTCTTTGGCTAGAAAAGCCCATATAGGGGATCCAGAGTGCTCTGAGTAGCCATCAGTCCTGACCACATTCACATGTCAGATCTCTACCCTGCATCACACAGATCCTCCTAGGACTCCAGGTCCAGCCAGTGAGTGTCAGAAAAAACAATGGGACGACACTGAGTACGGATCAAGAGGGTGCTGCCATTCAATTCTGTCCTTGACACAGCCTTACTCCTGTTACCGTGGGCAAGTCACCCGGCCTTCCAAGGGCCAATTTCCCCATCTTTTGAATGAAGTCCATTATAAAGCAGAAGCCCCTTCTTGGAGAAGCTCTGTAAGGATGAAGTTAGAGCTAGATTGCCTACATTCAAATCCAGACTCCACTCCTGCCTAGCTGTGTGACACCAGGCAAGTTCCTTAGCCTCTCTGTGCCCCTTTCCTTAAAATGGTAAGAACAGTATTTAAGTGATGGAATTGAAGGACTAGAATTAGGAAAGTCTCTGGATCAGAGATGAACAAGAGTGTCCCCAAGTCACCGGCAATTATAACAAGCTTCTTGTGAAGGCATGTTTTGAAGGCATTGGCCTCCCCAGGGTCTTCTCTTGGGAACACCTTCCCTGCCCAAGTGGCAGTGCCAATCCTACCTTCAAGCAGCGGGGCAGGCGAAGGAGGGGGTTCACTCCAAGTTTCAAGTAGAAAAAGTCCAAGGGCAGCAGGCAGAGCAGGTCCATCTGAAATCCCAATGGGGCACCATAGAGGATAAGGCACAAAAACTTGGGGGTAGAGGGACTAAAGGGCATGTCCCTATCTGCCAGAGAGAAGGGTCAGAATTCTCAGAACAGCACAAGGCTTCCCACCCACACACCCCTGTGTGGCTTCATAGTGCGTGGTGCCCATCTCCAGTGCAGCTGTCACCAACCATTGTAAGGGACCCTAAGCTGCCTAACTGGAAGTGGAGGCACAGACATGGAAAGGTGTTCTGTGAGGGTCACCCAGCCTGGGATGTCTCAGAAGGCTTACAACTTAGTGAGCATCTCCATGGGAGATGGGACTAGCCCCCCTTTATGTGCTGGGAACTACATGACACATGCCCCCCAAATACCCAGTCCTTCAGAGACTCAGCAGCAACATCTCATCCCCCCCACTCCCCTCACACACACACACACACACACACACACACACACACACACACACACCCCAGTGCACACCTTAAACCGGCGAGACTTCAGGTAGTTATTGCGCATCTCCTTTTTGTCTGTCTGGAAGAAGGAGACACAGCGTGGAATTTTAGAAAATAA